AAGGGAAAAAATATAAATTAACTTTTAATAAATTTCATTTAATTTTCTTAAATAAATTTATGTTGGATATTTTTATCATTCAGTAGTATCTTTTGAAACATAAATATTATTGGATATAAATTTTTACTGGTTAAATTGTACTAATGCAATTCTGCAATCAGCAGTTTTTAAAGGTATTTTGGATTTATACATTTGCTTGTTTTGAAATTTGATAAATATTTTTGTTTTCACATTATTTTCATTATGGAAAATTTTTAGCTTTAGCCAAATTAGTTTGCACATTAACGAAAAGCAAATTTAGAAAGAAAAGAAACTAAACACACAATGCACAGTAAACTACCTATCCAACATTTTATTGCCACCATTATTTTATTTGAATCAAACCCCATATTTTTATTGCATTGCATATTTGAGTAATTCGACACGTCAAGACATTTTGAAATTCTGAAAATTATCAAGTGCTATTTTCTCGACAAGATTATTTTCTAAAGATGCAGTGATTTTGAACAATAATTCTGTTATAAAATGTTTGAACAAATTAAATCTAACGTTTGAACAGAAAACAAAAACTAAAAATATAGTCGATAAAGATATTCGGATATAAAAAAAATTCACAACCTTGTACTCCAACGTAAAAATTTTATTCATTTATTTAATTCATGTCTTTTGATAATTTGGATTTCCAAACAGATAATAAAATTCCATTCATTTTTAGAATAGTACCAATTGTTTTTAAAGTAACGCAACACAAAGGTAGGAAGTCGAGGGTCAGTCTGATTTAAAAATATTTTAAACGATATTTTCTGCAACCACAAAGAAAGAGTTCATCATGTATTATTTTATTTTATTACCGCCGTTAAACAGCCGACCCAATTTTGAGTTTAGATCAACTCCATAGCTCAGGGAACTCTTGAATCAGGTATTGAAAGAAATTTGTCTTCTTTGAGGACTTTTTGATGGAACTAACCCTCATTTGTAAGCCATGTAGGCACATTTGCTTTGCATGGAGAGGAAAGCCATGAAAATCTTCCATGGTTAGCCTGACGGCAAGGGGACTCTAACCCATGATCCGTCTACCACTGAGGATATTTTACGTCAGCACTGTGGTCGGGGCGAGCCGGTTTCAGAATTCAAATTTTATCCGTCTCTGGGATTCGAGCCTGGTTCACCGCATTGGGAGGCGATTGCACCATCCCCTGAGCAACCACGGCTCATTCTTTGCGTATTAGAATAAAATAAGAAAACGTTCGTGTTTCTGTTCCCTATAAAAGTGTTTTTCAGCCCAAGTCATTGCATATTGAGCTCTAGTTTCTCTCCAAAATGAACTCTTATATTTAATTGCCATTTTTTGAAATATTTACTATTCAGAAATAAAGGCTTAGAGATCGACATACGATTAGAAACCATTTATTTCAAAAAGTTAATTTGAATTTGAAATCCTTTGATAAATTTTTTTAGTATCCTTCGTATTATCACATACCATTTATTTAAATTACATACTAGACCACTTTTCAACAATTTTGTTTATATTGAGATAATTATAAATTTCAAACCTAATGGTTATATTAGCCTTGTTGAATACATTATTGCTAGAGACAATATTCACAGTGAGCAAAAAGGTAAAGGACTACACTGAATAACTTTTGATCTAATAATTGAATCTTTACATTTCTGGACTTAGCCTTAATGGTTCGAGGAGGTGATTTCAAATATTCAAAATCAGTGCAGATGATATTTTAAGTTACGAAAGCAGACACCAAAACGTATTTTCTCTGAATAAACATTCCAGTTTTTCGACAAATTTGGATTTCTGACTCTTTGAATACAATTATAAAATTCGTTTATCAAAAGATAACTGTATTAAAAAATTAACTTAAAGTAAAAATTTATTATTTTAGTTAATAGAGAAAAAAATTCATTTCTAAGGTATGCAATATTTTACCTCATAAGAAAATTGCATTTTTAAAATTCGATTTTTCAGGAACTATACGACGGATTTCACTCAAATTCTGTAATTTTCCATGTAAAATTACTTTCTTTAAAATTATGTAAAAAACTCTATATCTTCTTCAATATTATTTCTACTATTAATAAATAAAATGTTAAAAAATAATATTTACTAAAAGTTATTTTACTGCATGCATCTTTCGTTGAATGAATTTTATAATTGCGTCCAAAACTTAAAGAGTTCCCGAAATGTGGCGAAATACGCAAAAAGTAAATTTAGGGATTTAAAAATAATTAGAAATTAAAAAAAGCGTCGAAATTTGGGGTAACTCTTCTGCCAAACTATGAGGACTATATTTCTCAGACTGCTGCTACTCTCTATATTTTGGGGGAACAAAAATCCAACTACGTTGTGAAACTGGTATGTTTATTCAGAGAAATTACAATTTTACAACTGATTTCGCAATTTAGAATATCGTTTTCTCTAATAAGACACCCCCTATAACCATTAAGATTGAGTTCTAATACGGGAAGATCTGATTATTAGATCAAAAGTTATTCAGGGTGGTCCGTTCTGTTTCACCATGTGTTATATATATATATATNTAAATTTAATTCTTTCTACTATCAAGCAATCGCTAGAAAAATATTCTTTAACATTTGTTTTTTCCTTAAGCACTATATTTTATTGTCTCCTCCTTCTATATTAAGCTTAAATTCGAAAATATTGTTTGCATCATTGCATAAAAGAAATTTTTTCCCCTGGCCAAATGCTTATTGTAATTGTTAAAATTTAGCTCTAAAAACTATTTCAAATTTAAAACTCTAAAAAAATGTATAATTATAAATATACAAGGTTGAACTTAATCCGTAACCAAAGTTAAACTAAATCGGTAACCGAGGCTGAACAAGGTTGAGCTACGCAAGCTGTCGTGAGACGCAAGTTTTAGATGTAGTGTGTTCGAATCCAGTCGCAATCTTTGTAATGTCCTTCTCTAACTTGCGCTATCATATCTTCAACTTGACACGGGTTTATAAGCCGTGCTTTACAAACTTGCGTATGCATGTGTATGTATATGCACGTAAACTTGCTTATGCTTAACAATAAGTAAATACTTTGAAGCGTAAATTTTTTTTATTTGCTTTCTAGCTTCTCTGGTCGAGTTGTCTCTCCGTTCAGCTACACTCTGTAAAGTAAAAGTAGTGGATTCAAATGCCATCGTAAGTTTGCATGCTTATTTGTAACGTACTTTTCTAACTTTTGATGTGACTAGATAAACCAAACTAATAAGCTCACAAAAACTTGCCTATATATGAAATTTGTTTTGCATATATATACAGGCTCTGTAAACTCTTGTCAAATTGCAGAACGGATAACAAAATTGAGAGAGACAGAAAAAAATATGGTACCAGCTACTTCTATATTTCAAGAGCGTTTAGTGGGAGAACAATACATTCCGAACGCTCTGAAACGTACAGCAGAATCGATCTCCGCCATATACTGGATGTATCGTCGTGCTTTCGTTCTCTAACTTGTGCTATCTGTTCTTCAAATTCAAGAATAGTTTTAAGCCGTTCTTTATATTTACAAACAAACTGGCATATGTATGTGAATAAATAAATAAATCTCACTTCCCTTATAAAAGAAGCGTAAAGCAATAACCACAGCTTGATCTATCCGAGTTTATTATAAATCAATTTAATTGTATACTTACAAATGACGTCAGCTTAGGTAAATCTTGGCATTTGTCGATGCAGAAGCCAATCAGGTTCGACACCCTCGTGTGACGTCACTAACGCGGTATCCAATTAAATTTGATTTAAATCACATGGTTAGACATAATCACTTCACTTCTTCTCGTGTTGCAAGTACCCAATTAACCCAATTTTTATTTCTGTTTATATAATAGGAAAATAATTAATTAACTACTATCTATCACTTACTTAGCAATTTAATAATGTTTTGTGTGGTAATAAGAACTGTAATTTTGAAAACTAGAATTTCTGAGAAACGAATACCATTACAGGACGGAAAAATTCTCAAATAAATTATTTAAATATCGAAAATTTAAAAATTTTAGTGATGGTTACCAAGATTCTGCTTTTTTTTAATACTAAATGTTTTTATCATCTTTACCATACAAATATGGTTTCTTCCCCATAATTTTCTTTCAGTGTGTACCAGAGCGAAAATGCTTATTATCCATTGCCATTGTTAGAAAGTATTACAACTCAGAAAAAAGTGATGAATTCAATGAATTATTGCTAGCAATAATGTGTGTGAAATAATTTTTAATGTAATTCCTACTATTACTAAGCAAATACTAGAAAGAATCCTTGTAACATTCATTTGTTTTCTCTGAATATTACTTGTTTTCTGTGCTTTGGTGAGACTTAAAAATATTGGTGGAAGTAAAATTATAAAAAATTTTTTAAATGTCCAATACATCATTTCATGCAACTTTTTGATCTGAGAAAACACTAAAAAATAACCACAATTGTCAGAGACACGGTTTTCTCAAAATATATAAATTTTATTTAAAAGGATTAATGTTTTAATGAATTTTTACGTGGTCTTATCACCTCATATATTTAAACACTTCACTGTTTGATAGAAATACATTTAGAATGATTTTTCTAGCGTTTATTCCATCACTATTTATTTGATCAATTTTCGTCTAAGTTAAAGCTTACTAATGCTCCGTGGTGCAAATTTCCAAGCAGTGAATTCGTTTAATGAATTTTTAAAGTATTGATTATATTATTTCATATTATGACAATTTATGCATATTCAGAAAATGCACGTTTTTGCGTCTGATTTCGTTATTTAAAATGTTTGTTGATCTCAATACACAAAACTCGCATAGAAATTCCATTGCGAATTCTCTTATGGTAAAAATATTTTTTGTTTCATATTGCTTTAGTAAAAGCAATGCTCAACAACAAAAGAATTTTCAAACATATGTGTAAATTTATTTAATGAATTCCATTTGACAACTGAACAATAAATAAACATCACCTGATCAACATTTTGAAAAATGCAAATAACAAACAACTTTTACAAGCCGTTATATTACCAGTATAAAATGCAGTCATAATGGGAATGAAAATATTTAAAATGACAGCAAAAACAAATTCTACAAGCTCTCCGTTAATGATATTTTTCAGAGAGAATGTCTTTGAAATCTTCATCCAAGAAAGCCATCGTTATCTTCACTGATTCAGGGGGTGATGGTGGTGGATCCTCTGGATCGCTATCTTCTTTATCCATTTCACTCACACTAAATGAAAACCGAATTTTTTGATTAGTATTTCATCTTTGCAACAATAAAAATCACCCATTATTTTTAAACTTTTAGTACTATAAAGTTGGAATTTTTCATTCTCCAACAGAGAAAAAATCCAATTCAAATATCATGCTATAAATTTTTGGGTACTAGATAGCTAATAATTTAATCTAAATAACAGTTGTTTTATTGTACTTAAGCTTTTAAAAGTTAAGTTGCAATAAAAGAACTGTTATTCAGATGAAATAATTAGCTATTACCTATTTCGTCAAATTGCCATTTAAATTCGAAGCATTTATCTATCTCGTCAAATTGCCATTTAAATCTAAAGCATTTATCTATTTCGTCGAATTGCCATTTAAATTCGAAGAATTTATCTATTTCGTCAAATTGCCCTTTAAATTCTAAACTTTCTCTATTTCGTTATGGTGCTTTAAATTTGAAGCATTTTATTATTTTATCAAATTTACATTTCTATTTGAAGCTCGTAAACGTGTCAGAGAGGCAGTGTCAATGATAATTTTAGATGTTTGTTACTATCGTTGTCTTAATATTTTTTGAAGTTAACCGTTGTTAATGTTTATCCTCTCAATAAAATACAAATTCCTGGCATAAGTATTACAGAAAGTTGTTAACATGTTGGGGGCAATTTTTTTTTATAAAAAATTATTATAAAAACAAATTATTATAAAAATTATTAAAAAAAAAAATGCAAAAAATTTTTTTTGATGGAAGCAAAGTCAGTTTTTAAATTGTTTTAATAAAAAAAAAAAAAATTCACAATTTTTGAGTTAGANGGAATATCCTATGGCATTTTTTTATGGCAAACCTATGGCAAATTTTCCTAAGGGTATTCTCTCAATAAAATGCAAATTCCTGGTATAAATATTACAGAAAGTTGTTAACAGTTTTGGGGCAAATTTTTTTTTTATAAAAAATTATTATAAAAACAAATTATTATAAAAATTATTTAAAAAAAAAGAAGAAAAAATGCAAAAAATTGGATTTCCAATTTTTCAAAAAAATATTTTTGAAGGAAGCAAGGCCAGTTTTTGAAATTGTTTTTATAAAAAAAAAACTAATTCACAATTTTTGAGTTAGAGGGCACATTGCTAATCATAACGTAAATATTTTCGTCAAGCAGTGACATTTAGATATGCACATAAATTTAAAAAAAAATAGATATAAAATTTCTTTTAATAGTAATGATGTCATAAGCAAACAAAGAAAAAAACTACAATGGAAAGATCTTTTAACAGTTGTGAGGCTTCTTCAAGATATGATGTCACAAGATGTGAAACTGGTAACGCCATAATATTCCCCCAAGTATCCAAGTATATGAAGGGTTACTTTATGAACATGTCGTGCAATTCATACCTTGGTGCTTACATATGCAATAGAGCCACCAAAGTATGCAATGCACTTGAGCCACAAATCGAAATGCTTTCAGGTGACCTTTGAGTCAGAAAATGGAGTGACCTTGGTGGTCTGCCAGTTGGAAAGTAACGACTTGTTACTAAGATTTCCAAAAGGCATCATAAGTAGCTTTTATTATGCTATTATACTTTTGTATGTCAATCAATTGTATAATATACTAAGTCTATCGATACTATTTTCAACTATTTCTATCTTATGTCGGATCTCCCCTTCGTGCAAATTCATTTTGAATTTTAAGAGTGCTCCCGAGTTGTTTACTCCAAAATTCATTTATTTTGAAATCAAAACCTAGACTCTTCACGGATTAAAGATTTCCTAACCGTCGTTGAACAGCTGACCTCATTTCGGGTTTACGAAAACTAATGTTCAACTCCGTAGCCTTGTAATTTTGAGCCTAATCCAAATCTTTCGTGGAGGACTTCTCTTGATGGAACTAAAACGCGCTTGCGTTACACGGAGAGAAAAATCCTCCCACGGTTAGTATGACGGCACGGGGACTGTAACCCGTGATCCGTCTACCACTAACGATATTTTACGTCAGCACTGTGAATCAGGTTATGTGAACCAGCACTGTGAACCAGGTTACGTCAGTTTGAACCAGGTGCAGTATTCCTATCTACCAACCATAGCTGGGATTTGAATCCGGTTTACCTCATTGGAAGGTGAACGTTCTATCCTCTGAGACACCACGACACGACTCCAGATTAAAGACTCAAAGTACATGACACGTCTTTTTCGGATGCAGATTAAAGATTCAAAGTACATGACACGTCTTTTTCGGATGCAGATTAAAGACTCAAAGTACATGACACGTCTTTTTCGGAAGCAGATTAAAGATTCAAAGTACATGACACGTCTTTTTCGGATGCAGATTAAAGACGATTAAAGATTCAAAGTACATGACACGTCTTTTTCGGATGCAGATTAAAGACTTAAAGTACATGACACGTTTTTTCGGATGCAGATTAAAGATTCAAAGTACATGACACGTCTTTTTCGGATGCAACTTTCTAAATTACCTGGCTAAGACATGGGCAGCTACTGTAGATGGCCTATGTCGCCGAGCATAGTTGTTGTTGGGTACTGTCAGTGAGGTTGTTTCTGCATGAGTGGCTAAATTACCTGGATCACTAGCCGTGCTTAGTCTTCTGACATTCTTTAAACCATTACCTGGAAGATTGGTTATAACTACATCATTCCCTCCAAGATTACTCTGTAGACCGATGCTGTCTCTTTTGCCAGATCTGTGAGAAAAGTTTCAAAATGAATGTTATGAAATCGTTTCAGCAGGTTTGCTTATATTTATAAATGAATCCTCATGATTATTATCTTAAAGGATTTCTGAACTATAATGGTAAAAATTATTCTAACATTTTAATTACAGAAAACATTACACGCATTCTTATGAAAAATACACACAATTGCTTGTTTTGTGACATATTCTAGTTAAACTTTGAGCAATAAATCCCAGTGAATCTCTAACTTAAATTCCATTATTTTTCTACTTTCTAAGTAGCAATAAGAGGTATTTATTTATTCGAGTAACTAATAGGAATGCAAGTCATTTTCAATTTTTTTTTAACTTTAGTGGGAGGTGTTACTTCTAAACCACCCGCTAAAAAATTGCATATCTGTCACATGAGTGCAAAGTCTTTAGTCTGCCTAGATTTGTTTTTAATTACCGTTCAATGTCATTCTTCCATCTTTCATTTAACTAACATGACTGGCTTTCCTAACACTAGAAAGACGGAAAATTAGTATATACCTATATATTGCCTAAAAGCACTCAAAATGACTGTATTGTGAAAGCGTAAATAAATTCGTTTAAAATTAATTTTCAACATTTATTACACTATTTACAGTTATATAACAAGTTATTAGTAGATATTAGCAATAAAAGAATTCCATGTTATACAAAAAGTTAAGAAAGTCTAAGATAATGTGTCATTATATGCATCATTGTTTTTCAAATTGAAATTAAAAGCAGTCAAAATGACTTCCCTAGGTAATCTAGTGTTAATATTCGTTTATCAAACCATTTTCTTGCTGAATGTTTCAAGAAACTTGCCCACCCAACATTTTCAAACAGCAACTTGATCTATGCAATTTTCTATTGTTTTTGCCTTGATTATTATTATGAATTAATTATGAATTTTGCCTTGAATCGCTAATATGAAAATTTAAAGTAAATTTTAAAAAAAAAATTTGCTGTTGTTAAACTAAGAAGTAATTTCACTGAAAGATTTATCTGACCAATTTTTCAGCTCATTTTTCTTAATATTTTTTAAACAAACTTCTGACACTTTTGGATTCTTAAGTCGATATAAGTGACTATAAACCTGAATAGATTATAAAAAAGAAGCAGTCTGGAAAAAACTAACAGTAAATGCGTACGAAGTTTAACGAAGGCAATCAAAAGTAACAGATCCTAAATAAGTGTACACTTTAAAGGCGCAAAAGTTCAATACTGAAAAAATATTGATAAAAATAAAATTATCTGTGGTATATGATAAACTATAAAAATATATAGTGAATTGCCATAAATCAAAATTTTATATATATTTTTAAATATTGGCAAGAAAAATTTCTTTTATATTAAACTTATTAATTTAAAACTTGTTTTATTGTATTTAAAATGTAAATCAGCAATTAAAATAAATCTCATACATTTGGCGTAGGATTGAGATTTTTCAATACATTTTTTGAATAAAAAAATTATTTTACTAAATGTATTTTTATGAAATTTTTGTTCTTTATTTTTCATTTTTTGTTAGAAATTCTTTTGATAGATAACCATATAATTAGTAATCAGCCGAAGGAGGCCCTACCTCCTATTAATTTTAATAAATAGGGGTTTATGTCGTTATAGTGTCGTGCCCCGTCACTTTCTTCCAAATAGTGTATAAATATACGTATAAAACTATATATAAAGTTATGTATAACATTATATACAGTAGGAATTATGAAATGTATTGAAAATTAATTTTACCTGTTCAGTAAATTGAAATAACCATCACCGAAAATTGAATAGGTAGAAGATTTTCTATGATTTGTATTATCGTATTGTTCAGAGTATACGCATTCAGAGCGACCATAACTTTCTCCCAATGGCCTGCAAAGAAAGAATTTAGTTTTACTGACGAAATTCATTTACTTAGAAAGAATTTTAACCTTAGTAATGAAGAAACTCAGTTAATACGAATGACATTATACAAATATGAATACATTAACACGTGATGACAGTTTCTGATTTTATGAACATCCGTATCCTACTGAGTGTATTAATATTCATATATTTTTGATTTTATGAACATTCGTGTATTTTTGATTAGATGATTGTTCATATGCACTTGATAATATCAACATGTAAATATAAAAATGATTATATAAAATTGATTGCATGAACATGAATGGTGTTGTAAACGAATAAAAATTTTAACGTGTTTGTTTGAATGAGTAGGAATATGATTCTATAAGTATGACTGAGAATGGATATCGATTGTAAATAAATAAATGGATATCGATTGAAAATAAATAATTAAATATTGATTAAAAAAATTAGGGATTCAATAAACATTGACAATTAACTGATTGAATATGATTTATTATTACAAATAATTGATTGAATAAAATATACTATTTACTTTAAACGTCGAGTCTCATAAAAGTATTCGTCTATATAAGAGATTTTTACATTAAAAGGTGTCGTGAGTTGTTAAAATAAATTGAAAGGTCAAGCAAAATTTTTAATTAGTCAATTCAACCCCAATAAGAAAACGCTTCTTTATGACCATAATCATGCGGCAATTAATTAAAAAAAAGTGCGTATTATTTATGAAATTTTTAGTATTTTTCCAGTCAAATAAATAAAATTCCATATCCATGTATGGCATCGCATTAACAGCTTTGTATATAAAGGTGACAAGAGTTCAGTAAAATAAATAAATAAAAGAAAAAACTCCTTTATTGTTAAAATAAATTGAGTTCAAACAAAATGTTTATTTAAGTTCAACCCAAATAAGAACATGTTTGTTTATTACAACAATCCTTTAGCAATCATTTCAAATAGGTACGTGTAATTTATTATGATCTTTACGCGATTCTTATTTCATGTAAACGTTAGCTCAACATTCAAATAATTTTTAAGCAACTGTATGTAACAGAAATACTGATTATATATTTGAGCAGATAAAATATGCACTTTAAATTTACATTAAGAACTTGGCAATAAGACAATAAATAAAAAAAGCATGGTTGTGCAATAAAATTCTTTCCCGAGACACCCTATTCTTTACACGTTTAAAAGAACAAAAGTTGGAAAACAAACAAATAAATAAATGCGTATTTATTAGTGCCCTGCCTAATCATGCATTTAGCTAACACCTACATGTATTTGAAAGTTTCGATCGCTAACCTTTTCTACGAACTATCTAAAAGAGAATGTACCTATCCAAACGACCTTTATGTCAATAGAGACAAAATAAACGGTCCCCTTCCCACACAATATATTGCCAGACAATGAGTTCACCAACCAATATATTTTCAGATAAAGACTAAGAAAGTGAGGTTAAGGCTTCAGTGTGAATAAACCACAACTCGTACCCTCCCTGACACGGACATCCGTTATTAAAAGGAGGAGGCAGCTTATATTTCACTGATTGGAATAAATTTTATACGACAAAGAAAACTATAACATTCAAATTATTAATACTGATTTTCTTTTGCAATAGAACATTATCGCTGGTTATGTTAACGTTCTATGCTATTGCAAATGAAGGTGAAGTCAACGGGTGACATAATGTAAAATGTAAAATGGGTGACATAATGCGATACCCAAAAAATTATAAAGCGCGGTTATATATTTCTACGTCATAGACAGCGCTGACATCATATTAATTTTTTTTTTTTTAATATTTACAGCGTACTGACAACATTCTTTAGTGCTACCCAAACACCAGAATTAAAAGAGAAAAATCAATAATTTGCACTGCGCATTCAAATGAATTAGTACCGTGAGAATAATGTGTGCGCAATAAGAAAAACATTCTATAAAAACGTGCCCAGGCGGTCAAATATCTAGAAATATTAACATGATGTATACAATACTAACTTGTTCATCGGTGGAGCTCCGGGCTGACAACAGCCACAACAATATCTAGATAAGAAATACTGAAACCTATAATAAGGATTTGCGATCTGCTGGTTTTGATTCTCTGTGTCGTAATGGACAACAATTTGTTCTTTTGGAGACACCCTACACAAATATAATACATTTCAATAAAGAAAAAGTGCAGAGCGGAGCATTTTACTACTAACTTCAAAATGCATACAATGTCTTTAAAAACAAAGAATTAATTGAACTGTAAGAAAAAAAACTAATTAGAACAAAGGGAATCAAGTCACAAAAATGACAAGAAATTTGAAAAATCCAATAAAGAGAATCGTTAGGAGATGGAAATGCGCTTTAAGAAGCAGAAAGATTTATTCATATCAAATTTTAAAATTAGTTACAAAAGTTGTCAAAAAGCGGCGCTATAGAGTGAAAAAATACAAAACAATATTTATTGCTTATATCAAACCATTCCAAATAAAACATAAGAAAGAGTAACTGTCAATTTTGTGCTCAGTTGTCTACGGTGTTGCTTCAGGAGGTTATTAATTTAAAAACATTGTTTTATATTCTATCTCAGTCAAGAGCATCATCTGTTGACAGATCTAATAGCTAATTTTAAAACTTGGCGTGGAGAAGTTTTGCATCCCTAAGCAGGACAGAGCAACCATATATAACTGTCTCTCTCGAATTTTTTTTTCAATAAATTTTTCAAATCACTGGTCATTGTTCGACATTCAGTATATCAGCAGGTTCTGACAATAATTAAGTTGTACCTAGCTGTGTTTTGTGGTTGGTTGGTTCTAATGTCACTTGCCACTCGGGCAAGCCTGCTTGGTGAAACCAAGCAAATTTAAAGCAGAGTGTGCGATATTTTCAGTGGTGCCGTGTATGGTCAAGAATTCGACTTCTGCCACATCATACGTCACACCTGTTTATAAAGTGGACCCATTCATACATCCATTCATTCATCCACAGATCGTAATTTTGACCTGAATCAGAGAACGATCGATCTCCAATCCAATAACCCCAGAGGTTTTGATTTGTTGTGGGAACATGGAGGACTTTGCGACTCGACAGAATTTTAACGTGCATCAGTCACCAACTACACGGGGAGTTTCGGCCGGCGGGGTTCGAACTCACGAACTCTCGGACATGGGCCCAGCGACCTACCGACCAGGCTAACCCGGCCGCTATGTTTGTTGCTTCTATTTCTGAAAATGGAAATTTTTGCTTAAAAAACCCAACCTTTATTTAAATAAGGATTTTTTTTTGTGTTTATTTTCAATATGTCGATATTGTCAATATATTAATATTTCGATTGAAACTCATAATTATGCTTATCATTTGTTTAAAAGTAACATGAAACATCAGAAGGGTTATAATGTGTAGTTTAGGGCCTACTTGAAAAAAGTGCTCAGGGCCTGGAGTCAACAGATTCGTGCAAGTGCTCTGCTGCATGTCGAACCAGTTATATGGTGCCTTGTATATCAAAAGTATATCAATATCATCTGGTTTGATATATCATGTATATCATTTAAACCAGGTTCAGGGTATATAGTGTATAGGTTGAAACACACCACTGAGTGCTTAAAAACAAAAAGCAACGTAGAAAAAATTAATATGCTGTAAGAAGTGCATAATCTGAATTTAAGTATTTAATGCCTTTATATTCTTTTTTTAAAAAATAAAAAAAAAAAAGAAATATCAACACCATTTAAATAAAATATAAACGTCGAAACTCTAAATAAGCAAAATAGCTCATGCTCATAATTATAGTAAACAACTAAGTATTTAAATCTATTTAATTCTGATTCGCTATCTCACCACTCAGTTGAAATAATTAAAAATTCACCATAATTGTAAATAGTAAGGTCTTTTTTAATTCTTTGAGTTTATACTTTCTTAAAACTGAATTTTTTTTTTACCAAAGAAATTTTCTTAATAGTTAAAAGAGCTCAAATTACTCACACTATATCCATTGCTGATCCTTTGTAATTAGGAATCTTGTGACTAAGAGAAGCTGCTGTGTAAGGAAGTTCTATTGCACTCAAGCCCCAGTGAGGATCTTTCTCCAGTTTTGCTAAGTAGCTGTATGAATCATCAACAATAGCGTAGCTTACCTGCAATAAATTGGAATTTGTTTCAATTTTCTTAGATACGTAAACTTGCAAATAATTGTACTCCAAAAAGTTTTAAGATAACATAAGTCGGGACATGATGGACATTCTCTCTATCAGATCTCTATCTTTGGACAAAATGATGCATAAAGATTATTGCTACAAATTGAATATCTCAAATTTTCAATTTCGGAAACACACCAAAATTCTTAGGCTTGTGATCAAACATACAATTTCATGCTCATTTCAAATTATGTCATTCTACAGCAGCGCTACTAATTTATATATTGTAGTTTTACGTAACAATTCTTAGTTGATAACAGATTCAAAATTTTTGGGAATGGGCTTATTTTTGAGAAAGTTATCACTGTTTTTCTAATTTTTCTTTAGTTTATGATGACTAGTGTTTAAAATTGGAAGGCCGGCCAGGTGGCCGAGTGGTTAACTAGCCTGACCTCGAAGCCAATGGCTGCGGGTTCGAATCCTGCTCTGAGCATGGGTGTTTCTCTCTCTGTGTGTTGTCTTCTGATGTGTGAATGAATGAATGTGGCCCACCCTATGAACGGGTACTTGTGGCAGTGTGGCGTGGGTAATGTTGCTCGCCTCCGTGACTTTGGTTCACAGGTGCCTACTGGGTTACGATAAATGAGCAACACTTCCGGCATCTTCTTAGGCGAAGAACGAAAGCTCAGTGCCTGCCGTTATTTTAAAAAAAATTGGAAGATTTCAAAGGTATTGCTTTTTTTTAATTGTAATTTGAAGTTTTAGAATTTTGAAATCATTTTCGGTTTAAGTTTATAAGACTTTTAACATAATGAAGTTAAGTTTTATAAACTTTATGGAATGCATTAAAACTGTTTAACATAATAATTTATTAATTAGTGAATGTTTTAATTGGAAATGTAAAATTATAAGATCCATTTCTGGTCTTGCTCTATCAGAGGATAATTAATCTTTTAATTTGATATTCAAAAAAAAAATCTAATGGAAAAAAAGTCGAAGTTTGTATCATATAATACTTATTGCAAACGTAGAATTAACAGAAAACTTATAAACGGGTGCATTTAAAATTAATTATCTATAAATTAAAACTGATTTTTTAACAAAAATGTTAAAATTGGATGTTTCAAATTAAATAAATTAAGGAAGTAATAAGAAATATTAAAAATGATATTAAATATATATTAAACATTTTCAATAATTTGATCTTTTTACCTGTATATTACGGTCGATAAACCAGTTTGTTTCAAAATCATCATCATCTTCACCAAATGGATTGATTAATTGTTCTGCTACCTAGTGAAGATGTAATTTCGTTATTAAACTGTTTTATATTTTTTTTTTGTTTGCCTTGAGATTTTACGCGTGAAAAATACTTCTTTTGTTATGCAGTAATGTAAGCACTTTAGATTGCTATCCATGGGCTATCATCTGAACTTATAAAGTAAATTTTTCGACAATGACTTTTCTTGCTAAATTGAACTATACAAAACATGAATCGATAAGATAAATAGTTAAGTAAGACTTTTGTGTTAAAAAATACAATTTCGTACTTGCTTACGAATCTTACATTTTACATGGAGAAGTTAAGTATTGTTTCTTACGTTCTTTTTTTCGTTTAATCGAATGACACCAATACGAATCGAAAGGACTGATACCTTATGGTTTGAAATGGTGTTTTTTTTGCATAAAGAATATCATTTTTCAATTGCACTTATTATTAAGGTACCCCTTATCACTTAACTATTAATCCCATCAGCTCACATTTTATCTCATTCAATTTAGCATAAAAATTTCATTACAAATCATTTCTCACGTGTTCAGATATCTCCTACAAAGTAAAGTAAAAGTATGCATATGGCTCAATAATAGAACATTTTTTACGTAAATACACTCGCAACTATTGAACTATATATTCCATTGGCTCGCGTATAGTCTCATTAAATTCAACATAAAAAATACACTGGAAGCAATGTGTCACTTGCTTAGATATCAATATTAGATGCGTAAATAGGCTTCAGGATAAGTTTCATTCAATTCAGTGAAGAAAAATTCATCAGAAAAAGTTACTTGCTTGCTTGTCTAGAGGAAAATCAAATCTATCCCTCATTTATTGTCCTCAATCTATCCCTCATTTGGATAGTAAAAAAAATACCTACTAAGGTATATTTTGATCAAAATATACCTTAGTAGGTATTTTTTTTTCTTCTAAAAAGCACCCTTTTCTCAGATTATTATTAGACTAATTACAAACTATGTGTAATTAATTTGGAATTGATTAAATTTACAATTCATTTCATTATTTAACCCATGAAATTGGATTTAAATAAATATATTAATGAAATATGGCATCCATTATTGAAAATAAAATACTTTTAATTTAACAATATATTTATCATCAAGAAACAAAAATGATTGAGAAGTTATAGTAAGTGAGCGAATTGAGCAGGTAACATACAATGATTAAAACAGAGAACTACAAACACAAAATATCAAATTTAGTTCATTATCAAACACATCATTCAAAATCGTTCTAAAACATTTAAAAACAGGACATCAAAAATTTTTCAGAGGTTTCCATTTTGAAAGTCCGCTATTATTGCTATGGACTAAATATGAAATAGCCTCCCAATAAAAATTAAAGCCTTTTATGTGTGGTACATAAGCACAAAGTTTTATGCTTCTATCATAAAAGGCGTGATTCTTTCATGTATCTCACCAATCTGCAGCGCTAAGAGTCAAGTCCAGCTCTTAAAATACGTAACTAACACGGGGAGCTGCTCTGTTTGGTATGCTATACCAGAAAAACAACTTACAGGGTGAGCATACTCAGATTTAACGGAGATACGTACTAGGATCTAGCGCATGTGTATAGGAAGCAAAGTGACTGTCAGGAGGTACGTCATCTGTGATCCGGTTGTTGGGCAACTCTAATTGTATCGTTGGGTGCGATTTAAGCAGATTTTTAATCAACATGGATGATGTAAATGGTTTCTCAAAGGAATATCTAAATTAACAAAACAGCACTGTTTATCAATAGTGTAAAAATGTAGAGCAGACCAATGATAAATAAAGAGAAAACTTTTTTTCTTCTCCCAAACCCTAGCAGTGATTTGAAGGAGAGGAGGTTGGAAGCCCATTTCAAGAACTTAAGTTGCTGTGCCTCTAAACATTTTTTTTCCCTTTATGCACAGGACCCAGACCAAATCTTGGGAGACTGGTTTACATTACGCCTATGGAAACTAGCCTTCTTCCCTTATGCAGATTCTTTGGTTGAGCGACGGTTGCTTTTGCAGTTTAATATAGTAATATAACAAAAGAAGGACTTAGTGGAATATGAATTCGACTCCACTAACTCAATAAAACGGAATTCACCTCGTTTCCAGGAGAAAAAAAATTTCAAAAGGTGGTGAAATAAAAATGGAAAAATCAACAGTAGGCAAACATATTTTGTCAGTTCTTAAACACACCATCGAATACATATTTTTACGCAGTTATACATATGTTTAATTTATTCATAAGTATGTAGTCTTGGCTAAATGCATTCTAAATTAAATTTATAATTCCAAGAGTGAAATAGAAAACCATCCTTTTTGCTATAGCTTTCAATATCAAAATGAAATCCCCTGAAAAATCTGGGAGAATTGGTAGCTATGTGTTCGTACAATTTATTTTTTTTTCTTATTTAATAACTAGCATTTCACCAGATTATTTCTGCTGCCAAAAAGAGAATATCATTAATAAGATAAAATAAGAAAAATAATGGATTTATTTGATTTTAAGGCTCCGTATTTTAAAGCGAACAAGAATGGAACCACTCCACTATTCAGACATGGCATTAAAATAATTGAAATAAATATTTCTGATATATAAATAAGTATCTTTGCGTTGTGATGAAATTTTTCACAAAATAAATTAATTTATGTTTGATTCTTTCAGTTTACTTTTTAATTTATAAACTTCAAAGCACAAAAAGAACATAGTATTTTTATGTCATAGAGTATTGCGAGGATTTATTGGTTATCTGCAGTAATTACCACAATATGCAACAAACAATGCCAATAACTTTGTATATTTCTAATAGTATAATGCCTAAATGTAAAGAAGTAAAGGAAGCGAAAATTCATACTTTCAGCCATCCCAAGAAGAAGAAAAACTGCAGAAATGTATAGATTGGAAAATAAAGATCCACTTGATGTCCAGGATATCCTTGCTCGGGATCCAGGAATTGACGGCCCACCAGGCAAGTTACAAAAAACAAATGAGTCAGGAGTGTTACGACCTAAAAAAAGGATTTGAAGAAATCGATTCATGTTACCGTAAAATTTCATTACGTAATTCAATTTATTTTTTTAAAAAAAATTGAAATATGCAAATTATTATTACAAAATTATGGTCACGTCTTTTCTTGCTATATCAGAAGATTTGATACGTTTAAAAAGATGTAATTTAAATAAACCATTTTTATTCAATGGCATAAATAGTTTCAGTATAAAATATGTGAAAATTATTTTTCCACAGTAAGCAATTCATATTTTTAAATTAGGTATTTGTTAATTAAAAATTGTTGAATCTTGAATTTTCGAAAATTTTGCATTTACTTTAAAAGGGAATGGTAACTCTAGCGACGGAAAAAATAAGCATTTCCAACTGAAAATATTTGCAAATAGTGCATTAATTTTATAAGTGCTGCTTCAAGTGCTTTTTTTTAATTCCATTTGTATATATAAACACGGTGGCTTTGGGGATAGAGCATTCACCTCCAATGATGTAAACCGAGTTCGAATCCCAGTGATGGCTGGTCGATACGAATTCCGCACCCGACACGCACCGACCACAGTGCTGCTATAAAGTATCCTCAGTAGTAGATGGATCATGGATTAGAGTCCTTTTGCCGTAAGGTTAATTGTAGGAAATTTTCGTGGTTTTCCTTCAATGTAACGCAAATGTGGGTTAGTTTCATCAAAAAGTCCTGAACGAAGACAAATTTTTCCCAATACTTGATCCAGAAGAACCCTTCTGTTCTGGATTGGGGTCAAAATTACAAGTTGAACATTGGTAGTCGTACGAAAGATTGGGTTGGCTGTTTGTGGGGAGTGAGTGTTTTCGAGCATGTCAACCGTCATCCGTGATAGAATTCGAGGACCGGATACCACTAGTTGATTCAGTGCTGTTTTGTGAGAAGTCGGGAGAGCTGTATTAAGATCACCGTACATTTTGCTGATCGTGAGAGCTGTGTTAAGTTCACGATCGTGGTCGCTCCTGTGTTGCCATTAGAAATCGAGTGTACGCAAGAGACTGAGTAGCAATAGGACGAGGAGGTGGATAATGTCGCAATCACAAGCAGCAAGTCAACTGTTCAATGTGAACCATCCTTCGAAGTGGGCATGTTCAGATCGAAGTGGCCGTTTCTGTCAAGATAGTCGTGTTCGTATCGAAGTAGGAGTTTCGGTCAAGGTGGGCGTGTGCACATTACGTCCGGGTCACCAATGTGGGGAGTGAGTGTTTTCGACCATGTCAACCGTCATCTATAAAAAGGTACCCCTAAATAGAATTCAGTTAACATGTCTTATATACTAGTGAATTGAAATTACATTTTTGTAGTGGTAGATACACTACACTGTTCAACGACGATCATAAAATAAATTTAGTACATGGATCTTTTTAGTCAGAAAAGTCAACTATTGGAGAATTTCGTAAATACTTTCGAAGTTTTTTTCTATAAGAAAAACTGACTTGGTTTCCTTAGCAAAATGCCATACAAATCACACATTTTAATACGTTCTTCCGTTATTCTTTATTCATGCCATCAGTCATGTTTGAAACATGTATTAAAAACACTACAGTTCTTACTCTCGTAATTAAAAGTTGCATTCAAACGGCGTGCATAAAAGCAGTAAATTAAGTATTAATTGAACAGACATATACTGCCATTATGTCATTCGTAAAGCAAGAGAAATCGATTACTTACTTGTGTGTAAACTAGTGGAACTGTTACCCAATCATGCCCCCATAAATGACCAGTTTTATTACGCAAATTATTCACTTCCTGCAAAACAAAAATATTGGAATTATCCTTTTAAATCAATTAATTAATCACAACATTTTAATTTCTAAATTGAATGTTTCTTTATATGTTTATGCAAACAGTACTTGGTTGAAAACTTTATTTAAAACAAATATTAAAGTTATTTTTGTCTTTGAGTTTTGAAATCAAAATACTATTGAATAACAGTGCATCGTTATTTGTAAAACAAAAATATTGAATTTTGTGGATACCTTTCATCTGTCACGGGATATGCGTCGTCTGAACTTTTTCTAAATTCTAATAGAAAAATTGCCTGAAATATGTTCTTTATTTTACTAAGTTTTCTTTTGTTTTTCTATTTCATTTCATCATCAAGTGGACATATTAGAGCTCGAAATATTTTCTAAATTCTAAGACAATACACATAGCTTTATTTCTTTATTTTTTTAAAAATTTGTTTCTTTTTTTCATTATTCACCAGATTTATAGTTCTTTTTGAGTATTTTCAATTCCAAGGGAAAAATTTCTACGGAATTTTTTTCATTAACATTTCTTAACAATTTTTTCCCTATCCAGACATATATGGGACTGATTCTAAATTCTAGAGCAGAAATCCCCACAGAATATTTTTCAATATTTATTTCAACTATTTTTATTCCATTGTAATTAAACAAATGTATTCGTTATTAATATTCACTTAATTTATATGATTATTCTTCAATTAGTAATTATGAAAAATTCTTTTTTGGTCAAAATAAGAAGCAATAATAGTTATACTTTCGGATGTACTAATTTAATACATTACTTTTAATAAAGCAGTAAAAGACGTTTTCATTTTAAATAAATAAAAAAGTATGAGTTAAGGGGAAATAAGAATAAAAAGTTAAATTTTAAATGCTTAAAAATGGAATGAAATCACTTACATCTAAAAGCTGCTTGACGGGCTCCCCAGCTGTTACTCGTCCTTCTTTTACTGCTGCACGAATTAAATTGATGAACCATGTCAATGGCACCCAATGTTTATTAAAGTTGAGTTCGATTTTGTCGTAAAGTTGTTTTTCTTCATGTGACATCAGTCCTGATTTCAAAGAACAGTAATGCATAGATTATAACAGATGCAAAAGCACGAACACGGTTACAGGAAATAATAGGGCATCTCCAATAACATTTTATTAACCCCTTCCTTCTCGCTCCCGTGAAAATGACGGGAAGAGATTTCACCCTCTATTTCTCGCTCCCGTGATATTTTCGGGGTGGAGTGTTCAGTAGTAACGTGCCAATAAGAATAAAACTAATTCATTTTTTTTGCCCGGAAAGCATTTTATTTCTAATTTTACACACCAGATGGCAGTACCAGGATATGTTTAAGGTAATTGTAGATAGTTTATGTTTAACTAGATGTCTGCACTATAATCAAATACGTGTATAACATACGCGTTTAAAAAAATAGTCACCTCTATGACCGTTTTCTTTAAAATTAACCGATCGTTAAGGAGTTAAACTGAAAGATTTGATTAATAAACAAAACATCAAAACTCCTAACAATTGCTGAAACCACTAAACTCTTATAGTTAACGACTTTTTAAATTGCATCAGCTTTCTATTTGTAAAAATTCGATGTAAGATTACAAGAATTTTTAGTGAAATTAGTTAAAATTTTCATCAAAAACTTAATTAATAAAATTCATAGTAACTCTGACAATTGTTTAAATGGATAGATAGACCAACAAGAAAGGTAAATTTCATTCCAAAGTTTGAGAAGAAAAGTAAAGTCAAATTCTTGAAGATCGCGTCGTATGTCAGATGCAAACTGTAAAACTTTTGAATTATTTTCTGTTACATAGATTTTTTAAACTTTTGCAACACAATAATGAAATTTAAATATTTTTGAAAAAGCCGAGAATAAAAGTGTTTCGTAAGACTAAAACTAATGCAATGTTCCTTTTTTTCGATAAATTAAAGAATATTCCTTTTTAAATTCGTGAAACATGTGTTATAACATTAAAACTTAAATAGCATAATAAACATTAAGTTTTCTAATTTTTGTGATAAATATTTCATTGGATCAGTTCGGCAACACGGAGCTTTTGAAGCTCGCTCCAAATTCTTTCAACTTTTTGAAAATAAACAATCGCTTAAAGATCGACTTTTTGAGCAATCTTGTTCATTGCTTTTACATGGCGTCATTAGTCGTTAATTTATAATAACTTATTAATAATAGTTGAAATAATTCTGTCAGAAAAAACTACCTTAAATGAAAAGTTGAAATCCTTAAGAACAATAAAATTCGCGATTTTTAGAAACTTAGGTAACATTCTTACTGAATCTGAATTAATCGTTCTGCTTAAAATGTACCAATCGTATTCTCAATTTCTAAATGTACATTTAATATGTATTTTTATTTTGATGGAAAAATTACAGTAAAAATTACTTTTGGTGTAGTGTTGGAAAATATTTCGTATTAAAATAAAAAAATTTGTTTTCAAAATATTTTAATTCAGCTCAAAATCGTTTGCTTATAACAAAAAGAGAAGGATGGTATATCTCCTCTCTTCTCTTTAAACTAAAAGCGATTAAACTTTTTTATCTGTTTTCAAACGGTATCGTCTGATCATCTTGGCGCGAATTCCAAATACTCCAAGTCAGGAAAATGACCCATTGAAATATATTTAACCAATATGTTTATCTTCTTTTTAGCAAGAAAAAACAGTATTTCGACATTATATGGCTCATGCAACGTTAGTTTAATGCAACATATATTTTGCAGATAGTTTAATGCAACATATATTTTTTTGGAATATGAATTTTAATTGCACATATTATATGAGTCACACATTAATGATATTTACAAAAAAAAGTCGAAATAAAAATACATTTACAGTACATATACACATACATCTACGCATTTTCTTACTCATACACATGCACAACCACATCCACATATACATCATATACATCCACTTGCACATGCATATACACAAACATATTCCACATACACATTCAGATACAATTACAGATATGCATACACATATTCCCATGAGCACATATACTGTTACTGTTGTGTATTTCATGCGCCCCACGTTTTTCGCTTTTCACATTTTTGTTTTTTAATTATTATTCTCCACTACAAAAACATGGTTTTTAAAAATATAATTTATTTTCATTTTTTTTTATTACTCACTTCCAAAATCTCAATTTTTTTCACTCACTGTACACAAAACTTTTCAACTGACATGTGACACTAATTTGAAACAATCGAATCGACAACAAAAGACAATCGCGAAAATATTAATTTTTTTTTAATTTTATTTTACTTTGTATGTCTTTTTTCTCTTCATTTTCATGAATTTTCGTCCAATTCTGAACTATGTGCCAAATTTGAAGTCTGTAGCTAGTCGGGAAGTTAGTTTAAAATCGATTACAAAATTCCACCCGAACAGACCTCACACGAAGGCAAGTTGATATAAACGTGGTAAAAATAGATAATAGTATAAATTTCGGATGATGTGAGAAATTTTTAAGTTATTTAACTATACAGAGTACACTATATATTTAACTATATTTAAGTATACAGAGTATGCTATTTATATATGAAAAAGATTGTAGCAACTTTTACATAGAAATCTTAAGAAAATTTATAATAGAATCAAAAGTTCTTAATAAAATGATGTTCACTTACCTGCTTCAACAATGTGTGAGATAGTGGGAAATCGTTTCTTGGCAGATCCACTTATTGTCTGAAAGAGTATGATAGTCGCCAAATTTACGTATCTAACAAGAGTTCTCCTTATCATCCTACCTCGGTCATCGTTGCCAGAAACATACATTAAAACTGTGTGAGCCACCCTGCATTAAAGACAGTTAAGCATTTTTGTTATTAAAAAGAAAAGAAAAACATTTTTAACACTTCTATTACGGAAATGACGCGCCTTTGTACCATATTCATCGCTTAGAGCTCCCTCGCAGCACAGAAATTGAAATACAACGGAAATTTTGTAAAAACTCTAATATTATATAACTCTAAGATTAACTATTATTAGTATTAACCGCAAAATATTTTACACACTGAATAACTTATTTCTTCTAGTTTAACATATGTCGTAGTTATTTTTTAAATACAAAATATGATAATTATATTTCTATAATAAAATATAGATTTCAAAATTTTGTACTTAACGTAACAAAAATAGCTTCATTAAATAAAGCATTAAAGTTTCTACAATGAGAAAATTTATAATTGGTATTATTTTCTTTTCTTATTTATAATATACTAACTGAATACATGTTCTTGTACGAGGTGAATAAAGAAAACTCAATTAATCAGTACCGAACACACATACACAAAACTGAAAGGCATATTTCGACACAATTGAAGTGCTTAGTGGAAGAGCCAGGTAAGTGACATTTGCTTGCATATATTTTATTTCCAAATTAGGCAGTGGTAAATAAAATAAAGCAAATAATTATTAGTCCCGCCTCCTAAAAAATCGGTAATAAAGTAATTCGGAGACTACTTTTTTTCATAGCCTGATTATCTCTCTGAAAAATTTAACTCATCTGGTTTTTCCACAAATCTCTTCAATTAATAAAGCTAAAATAATTTCTTTTTTTATTATTTATTATTATTTCTTACCCTTTCCTGTGACTTTGCGTTATTATATTATGAAAAACGAGTTTTTTGTTGTTCATCTCATCAGAATGGAGATTAACTGTATTTAGCATCACTTAACATGAGGATATTTCTCGCGGCCAACTCATGATGTTCAACACTTACCACTATCAAGTACTTTTATCAGCTACATATCCTTTTCAAAGGGACGTAAGACACTTATTTCCACAGTATCGGTATTAAAATTGCTTAATTTTGGTGCAGTTTTAATAATTACAAAATACATCAATATAAGACATTATACCTACATTAGTATATTTGGCACTTACTGCGTAACCCTTCAACATTTGAGGTTTGTGTGAAATACATTTATTAGTGGCACCAAACTTAATCTGAAGTTTTAAAAATTATTGACACCTTAATAAGGACTTAGGAGCATGATCATTACTCTATCGACCTCTAATTTACTGTTAAAAATAATTATAAGTAGTGGTTGAAAAAGTTCTTCTAATTGTAATTCATTGAAATATTAATACATTATCTTTGCGACCACAGGAAAAAATATGTTCTAAAACTACGGCAAACCAGCTGTCGAATTCTTATTAAAACTGCTCCAGTTACCATAATACCAATAGTACATATTACCGAAATTAATTGTCACCTGCGTATGGCAAATTTTCTATTATTTTTTTTATTTCAATTAATACGTATTACTTATAATAATTAAGCTTTGGTATGAATAATATGGTGAATAATATTTCCAAAAGAAATCTTTTTTTCATTAGCATTGCTTTTTAGTTGATAGACTGTTTTTTTATTTAAATTTAAAAACATTAATTCAGTATCATTGTCGTCCATATTAGTGTGGCAAGATTGCGGGATATGAGGGTAAGCAGATGTGACTAGGGTGGAAATAATTTTGACATTGTCGAAATTAAATTTATGCTCAAGATCACAACAATGTGTAGCAATTGATGATTTTTGGTAATCCATTTTACCCTGATTTGCCTCTCTCGGTTACTGGGGTTTCCCTTGTTTTATTTTTAATTTTTTTTTCTCCTTCAGCTACTGCGGTCTTTTTAGTTTCCTATCACACCTTTATTTCTCCGTTTCTCGTTGGCAACTTCACGCTTTATATTTCGAATCTCTCTCCAGTTTCTTCACATACACGTCTGGCAAGTCTTGAAAATGGTGCCTGTTTTGAAGCCCTTGAAACATATCGACTGTTTTTTGTCTTCCAATTTTTAAGGCAGATGAAGTTTTTAATCAAGTAAATGTAATCCTATTTATAAAAGCTTGGAATAAAAACTAAGGGATCTTTATATGTTTTACTAGAATCATTACTAGTTAGTTTCTTCTTATTTGCTTTTAGGAAATAGCTTTTGTTCCACTCACTTATACTTATTATTTCTCAAGGAACATGAAATTAATCCTTCTAAAACAAAACAAAAAAGTAGATATATGAAAAAGGTTAACGATCATTGTCTCTTACCTGTCTGGCCACGGGAGGTTAAGAAACTGATTCCACCATCTTGAGACAACAAATGTGACGTAGAAACCCAGGACAAAGGACATGGGCAGGAGACCTGAAGTTTGATCACAGTACAACGCTACTTTTTCAAACTGCCTGCAAAGAACTATTAGATGATTCTAAGAGTGAAACGACTATTCTTTTTTTATTTTTATGTAATTTGAATTTTGAAAGAAGACATATATTTATTTCAAAGGACTAGAAGAATCTAAAATAGGTTATTTGTTACAGAACACTGTTATAATATTCAACCATTTGCATGAAAAATAGGTAGAAGTCAAATCAGGAAAAATAAGTTTTTAGATAAAATGTTCTTTACATTCTGGGTAACTGAATTATAGTTATATTATCTCAAAAATTGCTTAAATTGAAAATAATATCACTAGTAATGATGTACACTGCTTGGAGTAAAAATCAATTCATCCTAAATAACTTTTGATCTAATGATCGGATCTTGACGTTCTAGGACTCAATCTCAAAGGTTCGAGTGGATGACCCCAAATAAGCTAATTAATTAGTGCAGACGCTTTAAAGTATGAAATATGACCCTAAAACGCACTTTCTCTGAAAAAAATTTCTTTTTTGGCGTATTCGGTTTTCTGACCCAAAAAATTTAGTGGGTAGCCGCAATCTGGGAAATATGGTTCTGATAGTTTGATCAGAAAAGCGGTTCAAAGTTTGGACCATTTAATGTTAATTTTACTTTGCGCGCATTTCACCACATCTTGAGAACTTTTTAAGTGAATTGAAAAATGTTTGCGCATAATTATAAAATTAGTTTATCCAAAGATAAGTCTATGCAAAATATATTTTTTAGTAATTATTTATTATTATTTTATTTAGTAATAATCGAAAAAAATTTGAAGTGTAAGGTAAGTGATTTTTTACATAATTTTAAAGAGGGTAATTTCAAATGCCAAAATACGAAATTTGAGTGAAATTTGTTGAATAAATCCCGAGAAATCATATTTTGGAAAAGTAGTATTTTTATCCCAATAGTTTCGTCAAGAGAGCGGTCAAATTACCCAGATTGTGGCTACCTCTATTAGTTTGAAAGTCGAATTCGTCGAAAAAAAGGTATGGTTATTCAGATAAAGTATGTTTATGCGTGTCTATTGTCAGTAAGTAATTAGCATATTTGAGTTTACCTCCTCGAACCATTAAGACGAATTTCTGGAACGTGAAGATCGGATCATTAAGTCAAAAATTATTTTTCGATTTTTTTTTTTTTTTTTTTTTTTTTTTTTTTTGCGCACTACACTGTATCCGGACGCGTTAATGGGGCATTAAAATCTTATAAAACAAGAGTATTTTCCAAGGCACAATTGTTCCTCCGAAACACTTCAACAAAAAAAAAATTTCTGAAACTTTTCCTATTATTTCTGTGAAGTAGATTATAATTATTTTTAATTCCAATTTTTTAAGCATTTAATTGAAGATGATTTAAGCAAAAAATGTGCCTTCTGAAAAATACTATTCCTCATTTTTGTAACTTCTTTGTGATGTAAATAATCTATATTATATAAAACGCTAATACGTACATATGTATCGATAAAACCGATGATATTTCTTTTCTCGCGCTGGCAACAGTTTTCATTTTTAATTGATTGGAATCGGTGCGCAAGAGCACGTAGTGAGCATCATATGGCTAATCTATATTATATAAAACGCTAATACGTTTTAATTCATAGGCTTCGGCGCGCAAGAGCACGTAGTGGGCATCATATGTCTAATCGGGGGAATTCTCACCGAATTATCAAAAGAATTCTCACAAAATTATCTTCATCGAAGCCGATGCTTTACATCTGGCATTCAGTACTATTTCATATTGTTTTACAACACATGGTCTTAGCCCTCTGGAGGGAAAGACTTTAAAACAACAACTGAAATTTAGAATAGTGTGATTAAGAAAAATATGTAAACTGTTTGCAATTTCAAATTAATATTGAAATGCAAAGGTTTAGANCATTGGCGAGCGAGCGCAGCGAGCCATGGTTCACGGCGTGAACCACATAGGATTGCGTAGCAATTCTTGGGGGTTGGCGAGCGTTAACGAGCAGGGGGCGGAGCCTCCTAGTATAATTTAAAAAATAAAGAATGTGTGATAATAAAAAAGTAGAGTTGATACGAAAATGGGTAAAAAAATTTTAACTTTATTGACTTCTATCAAAAGTATCAAATTACTAACTCATATTTACTTGATCATGATTTAGTAAAATTAGTTATATAACTCTGCTCTTCAAACATTTTTAAAAAAATCTAAAATCATAAATCAGTCAATATCTACAAAACATGTACAAGAATACAAATTAAATCAAACGTATAGTAATATTAAAAGTTATATGAATAACGACGTCATACTTCATTCCTTGCAAAATTACCTTTTTTATTAACTATTTTATGTGATTCTACTTTTTAAAGAAGTTACTCTGAAATACATACTTTCAAATACTTGTATTCATTTTAAAAGAAGCTGATTTCTACTCAATATATTATTTTCAATAAATTTTCGCGAAAACAGCTTTACGATTGGCAAACAATTCTCTTTAGAATTTTCAACATCGAAAAGACCTTACAAAACATTGATTTACGCTGCATTTATGAGGTCTTACTCTTTATTATTGCGAAGTCAAGTGAAGGGGTTAAGGAATGTAAAACTTGACAGCTATTAAATCTCAAATTCGTCGATACGTGCAAGACAATCCAGATTGTTCTACGAAAAAGGTTAAGTGAACGGTAAAATAATTTTACCTTGCAAAAATCAGTTCACGAATCACCGATATTTATTCGGTTGTATGATGGTTTAAAAGTGCACATCTTAGTTTCTGGCAGCGCGTACTAAGTCATGTCATAGGTAGAAACTTTTTTTTTATCGGAATCTTACGTTCTTTCGAAACTTTCTAAAGGGTTTTAAAGTTTACTGAAAAATTATCTCTTGGAGTTTCTAAAAAATATTTTTTAGAAAATATGGCCTTCAATATGGCGAGCAATGAATATGGTACGGATAAAACTCGAAAGCCGTTAATATGCAAGTTTCTAAACTAATTTGCAAATTAACTAGGGTGATCTGTTAACGGGTGATTTTCCGCAATTTTTCTAGGAAATGTGTATTTTAACTGTAACCGTATTGTTAAAGTTCAAAAATTTGTTTGTTTCTCTCTTTCTACCAACTTATATTTTGATTGCTTGATTGCTTTGTCCGGATTCTTTAGATGTCAAAAAATAATTAAAGGAGACACGGAAAAAAAATTGTCAAAATTACTTCACTACATTGTAATGGCATTGCAGGTAAAGCAAAATTAATAATTCTGGTTAATAAATCCAAAATATACGGTATTTTATTAAAATTTATCATTAGGTAATTTTTCCGTTTATATGGTTTATCAAAAATTCTGGTTTTCAAAATTATAGTTCTTATTGTCACAAATTTTAGTAAAAATTACAAAATTGCAAAGTAAATTTAACAAAATAAATAGTTTTCATGTCATGCTGCAAGGTATCATAATAAAATTATCAAGTTTTTACCACATTTGGCGAATTTTATCGCACATTATAAAATAATATTTTATTGTTAATTTTACCAAAATTTGCACTTTCGTTGAAATTACAGAGTTTTTTGGTGCTCCCATCTGGTCAGAAACACAGTAAATTTTATCATCGTTTAGAAATTTTGACAACACCTTCTTCTCAGTGCATTATTTTAATTATCTTAATAGCAAGAATAATTAAACCGTTTGATTTCCTGTATTATATTTTGTGAAGCTATTGATGATTGATTCTATAAACTGTGTTGATCAATTGAGTGACTGATTTTTTATACAGCTAAAAATAAATAATATTTTGTTAATTCAAGCAAAACTTTGTTGTTGTCTAAGCAATGATCTTATTTTCATCTTTACCGAGAGCATTGTTGGTAACGTGAAAGATTATTTTAGTAGTTCGCAGACTACTTAGGAAACTTGAGAAATAAAACAATTTTTGGCACTTTAACGAATCAGCCTAGTTATTCAGATCATTGATAAGATAATCTGTAGAATAGCTGATTTTTACAAATATACTCTTTCTTTTCCTGAATAATAACACGAAATGATAAGGATGCCATAATTTTTTTACAAAACTTTGATATTCAAAGAAATATCTTTCGTATTACGGAACAAACATAATAAAAAGCAAATCAATGCTTGATTGGGTTTTAAAATGGTTCAAGGGTTTCCGAAAGTTTTCTTAAAATTCTTACTATTAATATACAGTAAAAACATTATATGTGCACATTTCAACAAATATCTAAACAACCATAAATTTATATGTATGTTTTAAAAACACTACAGAAACGTTACGAGCGTGTTGATAACGTTAGCTTTTCCGCAATATGCACTAAGGTAATAGTACTTTTAATTGTTTATGAAGTATTTTGCAGTATGTAACGGGTTCTTATTGTTAAAAAAATCATTTAAAAAAACACGAAGTAGGCTCAGTTATATTTTAAAATTATCTATCACATTTAAATAAAAAAATTTATTTATTTTATGATTCTAATACCTTCATGAGAAACTAAATTTTAAGTTCAATTTAACATATTAGTGTTTTGTATAAATAAAAATATATATCTTTATAGGATTTGAATATTTTGATGATTTTTTTCTTAAATAAATATTTATACGTAGTGATTACCTTTTTTGTGATTCTGTCATGAGAATTCTGTAAAAAAAGCTTACAATTGTATAAGCTGATCCATACATGAGCAGTTCTTTAAACACAAGCTTGTAAATACTGCCTTTCCATATGAAAAGCAGTTTTGCAAAGCCCATGAAACTTGTATTGGACACATTTTTCTGATAGGTAATGGTCATTCTGGGAAATCTTGAGTCAATCTAAAATTCCTAGATGAAAATAAATAGATAGTTAAGGAAAAAATATTAGTCACGAATTGTATAACAAAAGAATTATTTTTTGCGATGGCTTCCGAAACCTGTCTACTGAAAAAGTATTGTTATTGATATAATAAGATGATTCATAAAATAAATAACTGTGGTTAACGTTTTCAGATTCTTTTAAATTATTATTTATTACAAATTTTATAACTAACTATTATTGGATCTTGAAAGGGATACGTTAATAATAAAGCTAAAAATATTTAAAAACTACGCTTTACTGGTAGACAAAAGAAGAGAGAAAATTTTTTAATTTTTTAGATTCAAAACAAAACACGTTGAGCAAACACTTAAGGAAAAATTTCGGTGGTGATAAAGGGTTGTTACAAAAGTGATGCGCCCAACATTTTTCGCTTTCGGACTCAGAAAAATTAATTTTTCTTCTTTTTGATTTATTTTATTTTTTTCATCTTAATTTATCCTCTTCTCGTTAAATTGTTTATGTCAGATACAGGATCAAATTTGGCTTGCTTATAAATTGTGGATAACTTTTGCTTGCATGAGTTAGAAAGAAACTGTAATTTGCATTTGGCATTAAATACAGAGCTTCAGTCAAAAGTTAAAAAGTGGTCTAAATTTCGAGTGACGATAAATTCTGTTTGACTTTAAAATGGCGATATAAATTTTGTTTATTAAAAAGTTATTGTATTCAAGAGTAGGACTTTGTTTAAAATAAAGCATTCTGAACACTAAAAAAAAAGAAGGCTTAAACTTTGATTGATGTCAATAAATTCTGCTTGCAGCTGGCAGGAAATGATTGAAGCTTACATTGTCAACAAGAACAAAGATACGATGGAAATTTAAGTTCTCTAACTCGTCAGAAAGCTGTCAAAATCTTTATTGCCAGATTCCACATTTATAGATCCTAGTTAATGAAAACTTTCTAAAAAGGAAAATTTTTCAGTAGTAAGTGCATGTAACTCATTGTGTTTAAAACCATTGAGTCACATTTTATTAGATGCCGTTATACAAAAAAGCTCCTATTAAAAAAGTGATTTTTTTTAAAAACTAAATTACTATTTTCTACTGTTAAGTACTACTTGATTTTAAAAAAAAGATTTGCTTGATGGGAAAGCCGTCCTTTTTCAATTCAGAAGAGTAATTATCATGATTTCCGAGTCGTGTATGTCACACTAGGTTAAAAATGGATTTTAATGCTTAAATAAAATATGTCACTGTTTAATAAATACATAAAATATGTCACCGATATTTTTAAAGTAAAATTTATTTAAAATTTGTTCTATTCTTAAAGTTTTCTGTGACAACATGAATAAAATGTTCATTCATTTGTCAAAAAGAAGATACAATATTGAAAAAAACATTTCGGTAAAAAAAAAATTAAATTTCATTCTTATTTTAAGTCGTGAAAAAGAAACCTTTTTGTACATTATTCACGACACATTCTATCGTACACTATATTAAGTCACAGAGGTAACTGAACTTAATAGTCTCGCCTTAGCACAAAAAATATATCTAATATTCAATAGATCCGTTTTATAAAATCATGATAACGTTTTGAAAAGACAAATAGCTCTTGTGCAATATGAATATTTCTCCAACATATAGAATTGTCTGGAATTGTGAATAGTTTTGATACAGGGGTTTTTTATTTGCAGTTTTAACCACGAAAATGCATCTTTTAGCATGAAGAAATTCTTATTAAATAATCTCTTTCAACAAGTGTCCTCACGCAAAACAGTTTCCGAATAGATTATTACTTTGTGATTTGTCTTCACTTCGCTTTGGTTATGATCGTTCAGCAGACGATATCTATTGTTCTATATCTCTGAGTCTTCCCGCCTTTCGCATTGATGAATAAATGAATAGTTATCTATATTTATTGGGCATTGTAAAACTAGGACACGATGTCAGGTAAAAATTTTAGTAGAGGATGTTTATCGATAGATCAATTAAGCAATCTGAAGGGACTGGTCGAATCTTTTTTTCTTATTGTCAAAATATACATGGAAAGTGTTCTTTCACTTGTTTCATATGAATCATATGCTATAAAATTGTTTTTAAAAACTTCCACAACTTCCGAGGTAAGCAAGAAGCGACAATTGGATACCTGTAGGTGACGTCATCGTATGTAAATCGTGGCATTTATCAATTCGAAAGCCAATCAGATTCAATAACACACGCGTGATAGTACTTGAAAGTATCCAATGAATTCTAATTTAAATCACATGGTTAGGCCAATAATCACTTCGTCTCGAGTTGCAATTACCAAATTGTTCCAAGATGCAGTTTAGAGAGGCACCAAATTCATAATTACAAATGAATTTCACAGTGAATAAAGTAAAATCTTAATTGCATTGAATTCCAGTACAAAATACATATTAATATTCCCCGTCTCATACATAACATACACTAGTTTAAAAATCTCCAACTTTAATGAATATGTATAAATATTCTTAAAATTTTTATAATGGATTTGGAAAGAGAGTTTAAATTATGAATTTTGAATCTTGATTCTCTCATTGATACTATACAGGGTGTCCCAAAAGGTCGTTTACGAACTTAACATGCTGGTCTGTCATATCATGATGAACAAGATTTACATAGGAACTTGTGTCCGAAAATTAAAANACAAATAGCTCTTGTGCAATATGAATATTTCTCCAACATATAGAATTGTCTGGAATTGTGAATAGTTTTGATACAGGGGTTTTTTATTTGCAGTTTTAACCACGAAAATGCATCTTTTAGCATGAAGAAATTCTTATTAAATAATCTCTTTCAACAAGTGTCCTCACGCAAAACAGTTTCCGAATAGATTATTACTTTGTGATTTGTCTTCACTTCGCTTTGGTTATGATCGTTCAGCAGACGATATCTATTGTTCTATATCTCTGAGTCTTCCCGCCTTTCGCATTGATGAATAAATGAATAGTTATCTATATTTATTGGGTATTGTAAAACTAGGACACGATGTCAGGTAAAAATTTTAGTAGAGGATGTTCATCGATTGATCAATTAAGCAATTTGAAGGGACTGGTCGAATCGTTTTTCTTATTGTCAAAATATACGTGGAAAGTGTTCTTTCACTTGTTTCATATGAATCATATGCAATAAAATTGTTTTTAAAAACTTCTACAACTTCCGACACTTCCAATCCAGTGGCGTAGCTGGAGGGAAGCAAGGATCGACAATTGGATACCTGTAGGTGACGTCATCGTAGATAAATCGAGGAATTTATCAATGCGAAAACCAAACACACACGTGACAGCACTTGAAGGTATCCAATTAAATCTAATTTAAATTACATGGTTAGGCTAATAATCACTTCTTTTTTCGAGTTGCAAGTACTCAATTGTTCCAAGATGCAGTTTAGAGTGGCATCAAATTCATGTTTCATAATTACAAATGAATTTCACAATGAATAAACTAAAATCTTAATTACATTGAATTCCAGTATAAAATGCATATTAATATTCCACACACTAGTTTAAAAATCTCAAACTCTAATGAATATAAATAAATATTCTTAAAATTTTTTCTTAGCATGTTATGGATTTGGAAAGAGAGTTTAAATTATGAATTTTGAATCTTGCCTCTTTCGTTGATACTATGTAAAAATTTACACAATTTTATTGAAAAATAAATTTATTACAGACTTGCTTCTTAAAAGTTTTGCACTATTGTAATATTAAGTGCCACTGAATTGTTCTTTTCAGAAATCCGAGGCAACTAAAATCATTTACACTTTAACTCTTTCATAACCAGAAATTTTTGACAGTCTTGTTTCGCAAATTTAATACACTTTTGTAAATATTATTCAAACATAACTACTCTTGTCTTTGTATTCACATAAATTGGTGCTCTAGTTCTCTTGATTTTATGAAAGCAATGTTTAAAAAAGAGATATCATTATAATCTTGCTCTCAGGTATTTGTAACTATCACCAGTAATTTTATTTTCTAGTTGTTCAGAAGTTTTAGTAAATTTTCTTTACATTGCTTAAAATATTTTTTAGAAACTATTATTCTCTTAGACTTATATTTCACATTTTTTTTAAGTTTTACTTTTGTTTAAATAAAAAAAAATTTCTTAGACCTATTTTAAAGTGATAATTGTTTCCATTTTCATTCTTGTTCTTATCAGCATTAAATAGTTAAAATATTATGTAGTGAATTCCATAAGAAATATAGGCCGGGATAGCTTTGTTGATAGGTCGTGTTCGTGCGAACTGGAGTTCGAATCCAGCTGCCCGAAGAATACCCGTGTATTAAATGGTGACTGGTGCACGTTAAATACGTCGGGGTCACAAAGTCCACCCAGTTCCCACAACAAATCAATACCCCTGGGGATACTGAATTGCAGATTGATCATTCTCTGGTTCAGGTCAAAATTACGATCTGCGGATGAATGAAAGGTGTGTGAATGAGTCCTCCCTGTCAAACGGGTTGTGACGTATGTGTGGCAAAATTGCATTCTAGGCCATAAATGGCGCCCCTGAACAACAAGAAGCGCACTCTCTGTCTTAAAATTCACTTGATTTCAAGCATGCTTACTGATATTGGCAAATGGCATTTGAAACAACAACGTAAGAAATATCCGCTTGCGTTTTTCATTTTGTGTTTTTATGATAAATAGATAAGGGATTTAAAGAACCAGCTATTGTCGCTTAAATGACTCGTTGTCTCACTGAATTTACTGATAACTAAATAAACAAAAATATATGTATTTATTTTTATAAGATTCTATATATTAATTTTTTCTGTGATCTTTATTTATTATGCCTATTAAATAAAATTCTATTTAACTAAGGATGACTCTGCAGACAAACTAACCATTAATTATTTTGAAGACTAAGGATTTCTTTCTGCTGACAAACTAACCAGAGACAAACTACAGAATCGATTTAATTATTTTTGTAGACTTCATTGCATTTATGTTTTTTTCAAATTCTTTTTAACGAGATGATGGCATATTAAATCAAAAACGAC